TAAGATAGCATAAAACAAAACTGAAACAGAATGAAACAAAAACGGAACAAAAAATCGTTGTATCAATTTTCTCTTTCTCAGGGCGGAAGAACTTCAAACCTTGAGCCAACCATTTTTCCCAGTTTGCCTGAGAAAGTTCTAAGGATAGACAGCTTGAAACAAAAACAAAATAAATCAAAACAAGAACACATTGTTTTTTGAAATGGTCACCCATTCTCTCGCCTTCCCTCAGGGGCGAGCAGTTTTACTTACCTCCAAGCTTCAGGCGTTCTCCGTACGGGCCACCAGTTGCAGCAGTCTGGCTGGGCACAAAATCAGGAGCCACTCAAGCAGGAACAAACTTTATTTTTTGAAACTGCCACCAATGCCCCGTAAGCTCCTGGGAAGATTGCCAATCCACGCACGCGGCGTTTTCCCGGATCCCCGGAACCCCAAGAGGAAGTTTCCCTCCTACTGCACTTCCCCAACCAATGGGAACTCTCCAGGAGTCCCGTAGCAGGCCGAGGTGGACAGCAGGAGTCCAATATCCATATGAATGCAAATCTTAACATAATCATATCATCTCAATGGCTTGCTGGCATCACCTTTCAACCAAAAATGCCATGATCATATTACTTGGCTGTGGCTCTTAGCAATCTGTATTATCTCCTTCTGCTGATATTAACTTTGTTCTGTTTTATGAAGGTTTTAATATAGGGATTTATCTCCTTCCCCTTTAAGTTGTTTGTATCCCTCCAAAAGCTCCAGATTGTGTTTTGCTTGTGGACTTTGATTCAATAAGAATATTAGATACTGGTATATGAATAATTTTATGTAAATAGATAATTCTCAAGTACAGTTATAAGAATTGTTCTCATAATTTGGACAATTTCCTCTTAAAACTTTGTTTATATTATATATATATTTTTTAAAAATATTTTTTAGTTATACATGGACACAATATCTTTATTTTTTTAATGTATTTCTTATATACATGACAATAGTGGAGTGCATTACATTCATAATTATCCATTTACACCACCATTTTTCATAACTCTGTATATAAAATATGTTCATGCCAAATTATGCTATTATACATGAGCTCTTATTATTTTTTTGCATTACAATTCTTAATACACCTTCATACCACAATTTATCATATCTCTGTTTGTATACAAGGTATGTTGACACCACACATCTTCATACATGTAATTTGTATGTGGTACTGAGGATTGAAACCAGTGCCTCACACATGGGAGGCAAGCGCTCTACCACTGAGCCACACCCCAGCTGCCTATATCTTTATTCTTAATGGTGAAATGGTTTACCACTTCAAATGGGTGATTTCTGGGCTAGTTATTATAATTAGCAGTCTTGAATACAATCTTGTAAGAGCCTTTAGAATGGTTTAATTGCATGGTTTTACCTTATTCACATTCACCACAGATTTATTTTGCATGTTATTTCCTGATCCCTGTTGATACCTAAGAACAAAACATGAATGTACCTATTTACATAATTATTCTTTTACTCATATTTTGACAAAACAGGGAAATGTAATTGTATTACTTAGCAGTGAGTCTGTTTTAAGTGTGTTAACCTTGTGTTGAGATACAAGAGATTCTGGTGGACCAAAGGGGTCAAGTGTATGTTATGCTGAACTCATAACCAAAATAGCTGAGTTTCTGAGAATGCGGCATGAGCTTGGGAGAATTATGAAGACTGGGATAGTCTTTGGGGAAATAGGAGAAAGAATGATCCACAGTGAAACAACTCAGTAATCGTCAAGGGAGTATGGTTTTCTCTTCTTCTTCTGTTTCCTTTATTATCCCTTCGTCTACCCCCTTTCTTCCTTTCCTCCTTTATTTCTCTGCCCCCTTCCTATTTTCTGCCTCATTTTATATCTCTACCTTTTTCTTTTTTCTTTCTTTTTCCTTCACTAGTGGAGGGTCAAGGAAGAATTACTGTATTGCCCTAGGGTCTGAGTTTCACTGGGTAGATAGAGCAGAATTATTGGGATGCAAATGAATTGAGGGTGATAAGAAGTCCTGGACTATACCCTATATATGGAAGAAAGAAGATTCACATGAACTCACAGTTTGGAGAAAATGTGAATGTTAGGGAAGTGAGGTTGAAGAACATAAATAACCAGGGCAAGGGTGTGTCAGGCCTGGGAAGAGAGGGCTGGGTGATGATGGGATCGGATCCAGTGTATGGTCCTGTAAACTAATAACTAAAATGGACTTGAAGGTGAGGTTATTGGAGTTGTGGCTCTCAAGGATTTCTGACATTGAAATCCTAGGGTGATGACTGACAACAGTGGCAATTAAAGAAAAGGCTGTGAACTTGTGCCAAAGACTTCATAAATCTGCGGGAGTGTTTGAGAAGTCCCTAGATGGCAGGGTGAGGAGGATGGAGTGAAAAGGGACCTGCATATGAAGGAAACAGCATGACGGAACCAAGAGAATGCTAACCCTTTACCCAGGCCCTTTGTGGAGCAGAGAGATTATTGGAGAGAGTTTAGGGAAATTATATCCTTTGGGAAAGCCAGATTTTACTTGGAACAGGGAGACAATCTTTGAAAATTGAGGTCCTGGGGAATTTTGCAAGAAGTAGAGTATTTCATCAGGCCCAGTAGTGTTGCTTGATCAATGATGGGGGAGCCAGGGCCAGGGAAATAGAGCATGAGAAGGCAAAAATATTTATTTAGTTATTACACATTCTAGGAGTGAGAAGTCTGTTTGGAGTAACTACCCTCAAATAAATCCAGACTTGGTACCATTTGCATATTAGGCATTACTTTTCTCATCTGATTTCAGACAACAGCTTGGCAGATTCTTTTTATGGATAGCCAGTGTCTGCCTCATGGTTTTCAGAGCTGCAGTTTCTTTCTGGGAAGTAGCTTTTATGATGCATGCTGATTTGGTCAAGAGCTGCCTTTCTGTCATTGTTTTGGGAGGATGGGGGAGAGGATGGATAAGGTGTTTTGGCCAGGGCCATGTAGAGGCTTTGTACAGGTAGGATCTGCCATGTGATGTGCAAAGCTGGATTTCTTACCTAGGGCTCTGTTGTCTTTTGTGGAGCCCTAGTTTTGCTAGAAAAGTGCCTGCCTGCCCCCCCTCCCTCCCTCTCCCCCTCCCTTCCTCCCTCTCCCCCCCTCCCCCCACCCCTCTTTAAAGTTGGTTCTCTTTTTTAACCCCCAGTGGAAACCTACATTTCACTTTCTTTTAGTCACATGCACATGGATAGTATTTTAGTCATTTTTAGGGAATTGTATCCTGATACTTACAGAAAAATTTATAGTAAGCTTCCAAAAGGAAATTTCAGATAGTGCAATTAAAGTAGTACTCTTATGGCTTGGGAGATGGCATTAGGCTGACTGTTTTTAAATGAATAAACCATAATCCTGTTTGAAGTTGAATTGTTGTTTAAGTGTATTGTTTTCAATACATTTAATTTTGAACAAAATACAAATTTTGACTAGATTATTTTTTTCGGATATATATATTTAAAGGTATTACAATAAGTGATACAAGGGCACTTTCCCCTTCCTCTTGTCCTTAAACCTGAAAATAACTAGCTGTAGTTGTCTCATGACAGATCCTTAAACTATTTGATCTTCATGCTCTAGGAATTAAGATGGCAAGGAAAGCCAACTAAGAAATCCTTGAGGTAAATGGGAAAGGAAATTAATTTCGAAGTTTTTTTTTTTCTAAAGCCTTAAGTAAAATAAACTGTGCTTAATTTAGACTCTTTATGGTCTCTATTTCTTAGGCAAATAAGTGTGTGCAACAACAAATGTGAACTATTCATTCCATGTAGGAATTTTCATGTAATGGATGCATCAGTAATCTGGAGATAAATTAGATACTGTGAAAAACAAAATCAAGAAATTGAATATAGAGGGATCTAATACTAGAAGGTGATATTTGTGGTAAGGATGATTATTTACAAGAACAGGGATTTTTATTATTTTTTTTTCATAGAAATAATTTTATTTATTTTATTTTTTAATTTGTTTTAATTAGTTACACATGACAGTACAATGACCTTGACATATCATACATTTGAATCAGATGGGATATAATATCTCATTTTTCTGAGTATACAGGTTGCAGAATCACATTGGTCATGCATTCACATATATACACATAGTAGTAATAATGTCTGTTTCATTCTACTATCCTTCCTGTGTCCCCAACCCCTCCCCTCCCCTCCCATCACTTCTCTCTCCCTAATCTAGGATAACACTATTTTTTTTGTTTTCCTTCTCTCATCTTCATACATGTATTTTGTATTATTTATTTTTGAGACAAGATTCTTGCTATGTGGCCCAGCTGGCCCTGAACTCTAAGGCTGAAGTGATCCTTTTGCCTCAGCCTTCTTGAGTAACTGGCATTATAGAGATATGCTAATGTTCCCAGTTTTTAAAAAATTATTAAGTATTTCAAATGTATGGAGTAGAGAAAGATTGCTAATATTATAAAAAGCACCTGTTAATATAATCATACCTTTATTTTTCTGAAACAGAATGTTATAAAATTTTTATTACACATATACAGTTACATGCATTAATATAAATCTTTGAAACCTTCTTACTCCTTCTCCCTCTTTGGGGGGAACTATGCCTTTATAGGGGTCACTAAGTAAAATGATAAACTACTGGAACTAGAAAAGCCTTTACTGCCCCCCCCCCCACCAGAAATTTGTCAACTCATAAAATGCAAAGAAACTTTAACCATTTCTCCATTGCTTCTACTTCTTTAGTGATCTCAATTTTGATCAAAAGGGTCTAGAACTAGAGGAAGAGGTACAGAAAATCATATTGTGGATATGAAAGTCCTCCTCCCCTCACCCAGATGACTATAAAGGAGGTCTTTTAGAAGCAAGTCACCAAATCCGGCAGCATTTTTTGTATATCTATTTATCTTTATTAATTTTAACATTTAAAAAGACCTGTTTATTTAGTTTCTCTGAGTTTTTGTGAATACTCTAATGTTTGACTCTTCTGTTGTCCTCAGGATTCAAAAATTTCCTCTATGGAGCGTGGGCTCCGGGACCTGGAAGAGGAAATTCAGATGCTGAAATCAAATGGGGCTTTGAGTACTGAAGAACGGGAGGAAGAAATGAAGCAAATGGAGGTGTATCGCAGCCATTCTAAATTTATGAAAAACAAGGTAACGGTGTATAATACTACTATAGTTCATAGGAGTGATGTGAAAGATTGATGCATATTTTTACCTCTTTAGTAATGATAAAGATCTACTTTATTGTTTTATCAAACATTGGGGAAGCATTCTTTTAAATGGAATTTTCCCAGAATTTAGGTCAAAATTACTGATATCATACAGTTATTATAAGCTTTTATTTAAAATAAAAGTACTTGTATGAGACAAAGTATATATTTTTATAATTTAACTTATCCTATCTATAAGTACTTTTGAGGTGATTTAGTAGTATTATATCCAGATGTGTTTTTCTTCATTATATGAGACATCCAGTTCTCTACCTCTTGTGAAATATTTTAAGTCAAAATCCCAAGAGGCTGAATCTAGCTTTTTTTTTTTTCCTCCTTCCTGAAATGGGTTAAATGAAACTGTGTTTCCCCTTTAAATACAGGAAAGCTCTGTGCTGTATCCCTTGGAGAAGGTCCATTTGCCCCCAGGTTTTTTGCTTCCCATGTCCATTTCAGGTATAGTGTAATAAGATAGATACCATGGAGACTTACTTGACACCATGTGTTTTAAAATCAGTCACATTATTTCTTCCTTATATCCAAAGTCATTTAGTTTGAGTTGATAAACTGTTTAGACAAATTGAAGGATTTAGTTTATTATAGGTATCAGTTTTGTTGTGGTTTAATTAAAAATCACAATTGTAATGGTAGTAAAATTTTAATTTGACAGTATTTCTCGACTGTATTACCCAAATGGATACCCAAGAACTGAAAACTGAAACATTCACAGTAGTGTAAGAGATAACACCATGGTAACTCCCTCCCGCATTTCTGGTTTCTTGTTGTAGTACCCACACCTGCCTTATATGTCTGTAAAATATTTCCTTACTATTAAGAATCAATTATCAGCTGGACATGATGGCACATGCCTGTAATCCCAGTGGCTTGGGAGGCTGAGGCAGGAAGGATCACAAGTTCAAAGCCAGCCTTAGCAATGGTGAGGCATTAAGCAGCTGAGTGAGACCTTGTCTCTAAATAAGATACAAAATGGGCTGGGGATGTGGCTCAGTGGTTGAGTGTCCCTGAGTTCAATCCTTGGTACTCCCCCCCCCCACCCCTGGCCAAAAAAAAAAGAATCTATTATCAATGACATCTGGCAATTTCATGTTAATTTTAGAACTTAAAAATTCACATATCTGTCCTTCTATTAGTTTGGGTTTTTCACCCCTTGACAACAAAATACACTGCAATAAAGTCTGTATGTTTATGTTTTCCATTTGTTGACAGCACATGACAGTTTATTAAAAAATCAAAACAAAACTGAAAAAACCACACACAATCCTGTGAAAACTGAGAAACATTCTATGTCCCTTTGAAAAGGGAATTAGGGGAACAGATTTAATTGTGTAAATGAGTCATTGTTATTTCCAGTGGCGGTTCTGGCTCAAAAGTAGTTAATAAGATGACCTAACTTGACACATGAGTGAAAAAGAATAACAATGTCGTGACAGGTAGAGCAACTGAAGGAGGAACTAAGTTCGAAAGAGGCTCAAGGGGAGGAGCTGAAAAAGAGAGCAGCTGGTCTTCAGGCTGAGGTCTTTGCCGTAAGATTTACCTCTTTGTGTGCAGTGATCCCACAGTGGGACCCTGCCAGGTCTGGCTTGTGGGTGGCTTACACTTTCATTCTCTGTGGTTGGCAACTTCGCCCACCACTAGCACTAACCAGCCTGCTTTGTTCTTTAACTGACTTCTGTTCACTAGTTTGACCCAGATGCCACTTTGTATGCACTGAGCCCTGTGTTTTCTGGAAGCCCTATAACATGGTTCTTTATTGTTGCTTTTATTCTTCTATGGAAGGTATTTCAAAGCTTGTTTTTCCCCCTCAAGCCATTATTACTAGATACTTGTTGATTTATATAAATAGTGGTCTTTTTTCTTCTTACATGCAGGAATTACAGATGTTTTAGGCCCATCACCTAGAGTTCATTTGAATTTGAAATTCTCACGTAGAATACCTCTTATGTAGACATTGCCTTTAAATTCTCATTAAGTGATTCTGCAGCAAATGTTATTTTCTTTAGGGCAGATGGATAGAAAATAATTAGCTTATTTAGAGTTATCAGTAAATTTGAATTAGTGTGTGACATATCAAGTATCTAAATCTAGTTCAACCTTCTGTTTAATGAACTTAATATTTCATTTCAAAACATAATAATAAATAATAATAAAATAGCTAATACTAATTTATTGTAAGCTCTTTATAACCTTCTGAATTTATCAACCCCAATTTATAGATGAGGAAACCAAGAAAACAGAATGATGCCTAGGAAAAGACAGTTTTTAAGAGTCAGGGTTTGGTTTTATACAAGCATTCTGTTTTCAGAAACTATGCTTGTGAGTTCTTCACTGTCTGCCCTGTATTCAGCTTTGTACATACTTGTCAATATGTCAGGAAAACTGCTTATTGAAATAATTGTTGGCTAAGACTGTAATGCAGAATAGAAAAAATCTTGTGCTGATTTGGTATGTTTGCTGTTTATGAACCACTTTATAGTATTGATAAAAAGCAAACTGTTTTGTTTGAAAGAGTCTAATTTGGCTAATGGCTTGACCATGTCTAGAGGAGAAGATAATGTATTATTTCCTTTATTTTTTTAGCTACTATTATTCATTTCTGTGTAATGTTAGGCAAAATGGATTTCATACATTATTTTATTGAATCCCTAAACAAGAAAGTGACATTGGTATAATTTCTTCCTGTTACAAGTTAGGAAACCAAAATTTAAAGAGGCAGAGTAATTGCTCAAAGACATAGCTCTCTCAGCCTAACATGTGGCTGACTGCAAAGTCTTGTGCTTGTGACTTTTTATTATTTGCTTTTTGTTTATAATATTCTCTCCTCTTCTGAGTCTTTAAGGAAAATTTGTGCTTCTAAATTTCTTTTAAAATATTTTCTTTCCTTTTTCAGTCTTTCCTGCCAGTATAACAGTATGTGAAGCTTATTCAATAATGCAGATGATGAGGAAACTGAGATTTTATATTTATTTTTGATCCTATGATTGGAAGTAGCTGGAAATTTGAATAACCTTTAGGCCTAGTTCTTTACTAAGGAAGTGGTAACACTTTAAACATTTCTTCTGAATATTCATTTATAAAACAGATGCATTTTTAGTGCAATCTATGTGTTAGGGATGGGATAATAGTAATGTGAATTATTTGTTGATAAAGTGATAGATATATCATCAGTATGTACAAGTACTTGGCCTATAATAAGCATACAGAAATATTGTATGAATGCATAACTTTATTAGTAAACAGATTTCATATGAGAAAAATGCTTATTTTTTTTGTTAAAATTGAAGTCTAAATTAGAAATTTATTTGTAGTGTTTCTTAAAATTTTCTGGTAAAATTTATTTCCTTTTGGGAAATTGTTTTTAAAAGCTTTACCCCTTTTACCTGAGATTATTAAAAATACTCTAGTATTTAGTTTTTTTTAAAATAAAGGACTTGTGGGATGCAATGGCTCATGCCTGTAATACCTGCTACTTGGGAGGCTGAGGCAGGAGGATCATAAGTTTGAGGCCAACTGTAACAACTTAATGAGACCCCATCTCAAAATAAAAAGGGCCTGGGAATGTAGTTAAGTGGTAGTGCACCCTTGATTTCAGTCCCCCGTACTACCAGAAAGAAAAAAGAAAGAAAAAGAAAAGGACTTTTCATTTAATCAGTGATAATGAAATTACTGACTTTTTGTTTAATTTATACTTTCAACAATGTCTTTTAGTACCTTGTTGGGTGGTAGACTTAATATAAAAGCAGATCTAATTTATGTTTATTTGGTTTACATTTAGAATAAAAGACTTCAAAAAATTCTTAGAAACAATAGGGATATAGAGGAAATGTTTGAAAGAAAGTATTTTCTAGTTAAGAGAGATTTTTATGAGGTAATGAATGGCATCAGTTGATTTATGGATTACCCTTTCAGAGTAACAAACTTTAAATTACACATGTAGGTTTTTACAGAGATTTAATGCATTAACTTTTATCCATTTTGATGGTATGACATATTGTAGGTGATAGAACTTTATAGATAGAATCTTTTTTGTCAAGTTTTATACACATAACAAAAATTATACAATTTTACAAAACACATGTCTGTAATAACTTGTAGCACTGAAAGAAACAACTTTTAAGATAAGGCTTTTGTGAAACTTGTTTGAGAATGAGAATAAAACTTAACAAAAAAATAGAGATGCAGCACTACCTTTTGAATTTAAATAGTAGTATCAGGAGGTTTCTATTTTCCTTCTGTTATATATGTACATTAATCTAACGTTTGATCCATTACATTCTAGAGAGATCTGATTTAATAAAATGGAAACTGCTTTTTTAGAACAGTGGAGTTTAGGTGCATACTGCTATCTTATAGTTATCTAATTGAGTTGGAAATTTTTTTCCATTTCTTTTCTAAAGGGTTTCAAAGAATATTTAGAAGACAACAAATGAAAAGTGGAAATTTCCCTCTTTGTTGAATAAGCTTCATTTTTAGGGGATGTGGAGGTGGTGGTGGGATCCAACATAAGATGATGGAAAGGAGATGAATATGTTGTATCTTATTTATTTACCTTACCTACCTACCTACTGTGCTGAGAAATGAATCAGGGCTTTGTGCCTGCTAAGGAGGTGCTCTACCATTGAGCTACACCCCAGGCTTCTGTCTTAGTTTTATATCTTGTGATTTAGATTTGTCAGAGGTCAAGATGAGAGGTCTTTTTTTTTTTTTTTTTTTTCTTTGAGTGTTTTTTTTTTTTTTTTCCAGATTGGCCAGGTGAAACAGGAGCTGTCCAGAAAAGACACAGAACTACTCGCCCTGCAGACAAAACTAGAAACGCTCACAAACCAGTTCTCCGACAGTAAACAACACATTGAGGTGCTGAAGGAGTCCTTGACTGCTAAGGAACAAAGAGCTGCCATTCTGCAGACCGAGGTAAAGGGATTCTGGGATGCATGTGGAATTGATACCTTGACATATTTTCAAAAGTGCTATTTTTTAATGTTTAGATTTGGAAAATATGAATAATGTTATAATTTATTCTTCAGCAGTGTGATCATTTATTGTACTAAAATCTAATCACCTTGTTCCACTTGTTCTTAGCTCTAACAAATTAAAACTGTGCTATTTATTTACAATTTTAATATTTTAGACTTTTAACAAGTTTGTACTTTAGAGTATATTCTAAATATTCAAATGAAAGGATACTTATAAGAAAGAAATAATTGCGTTAGAAGCCTTAATTCTCATCCATTGTAAATTGTCATGAGTGTCAATGAGGTTAATTATCCTGTGTTTGGGTTATATGCAAAACATCCTTAATTTTTAATATTATGAATAGTTTTATGTAGGCACGTTGTAGAATCTGTAAATGTTCTAAATAGGTGTAGTTTTGAACTATAGATCATTAGACAGTGTCTTTTCATGTATATCCTGCTTGAAAATAAAGTTAGTGTTTTCAGAAATCTTAGATTATCTCATCTATTGGCCCTCACTTCAGGGAGGAGTAAGTAATCCCAGGGAAATTCTCATCTGTTGACTTTTCAAGGATCAAAGACAAGGAATTGGTGTTCTTATTTGGATACTGTCTTAATAAAAATATTTTAAAAAGATCTCAGTGAAATAGATATAATTTAGGTAGGAATAGGGAGTAGTTCTGTATAAAAGAAAGATGAAGCATATAATGTAGATTAATTTTTTTAAAAAACAACCAGACAATAGATAAATAAGGGCATAGTTTGATCAACAAAGGAATGTGGAGGAAAAAGAATAAAAGCATCATAGTTTTGGACAAACAGAATCTTCAAGTATGGGAGGAATGGAAAAAGACTTGGGGAAGGGACTGAAACTATTTCATGTTTTTTTTTTTTTTTTTTTTTTTGTCTGTATAGTTTCATGCTTTGTGGAAAATGAGAGATTTGTTGATGTAGTTGACATTTTCTTATAATTCACATTTTTTTCTTTTAAAATCATATTTCATTTTATCATATCAATTCCATTCTACCTCAGAGAGAGATTTGCGTATAAAATCACAAGGTGCAATAAAGGTTAAGGCTCTAGAGTCATCTTTTTTGAGTTTGGACTTTTATCTTTACCACTTGCTTACTAGGTGCATGACCTTGGGTGTGTACTTAACTTCATGATGCCTCTCTTGCCACATTTATGACATGAAATGAGTAGTAGTATCAGCTCCTAAATTTGCTCTTAAAATTAAGCTAGTTATTCATGTCTAGTACCAGGAACATCGTATGGTGTTTATATATAGTTATTGTCATCATCATTATAATTCTTGTAATAAAATCAGCTCATATATATAAACTGTTAGGATTGTTAGGAGAACATAGTTGGTTTTCTTTTATTGGCATAAATTTGTTTTGAAGATGCTTTTCATGTATTTATTGGGCTAAATTTAGCTTTATTCACAGAATTAGAAATTTAAAATCATCTGGAAAGTATTACCCACAAAGTTATTAGTTTATAGTTTTATTAAGAAAAAAAAAACTTCAGAAACTTGTACATGCAGTACTACAAAAGACTCAGAAGAGGGTGCCAGTATCTTAGAGGTGGTCCCTGCTTTTAGGTTTGCTACTTCGATAGCTTTGGCTGGAGGCAGCAGGTGTGCAAACTAGAGAACGAAGCAGTTGGCTAATGATAATGCAAACATTTAAAAGCTTGTCACAGCCTAATAAATAACTTTTCCCCCTTGGCAATCCATCCTTCTCTTTCTACCCAACTCAAATAATGTTCTTGTTAGCTAGGTCTCACAAAGATGGGCTTGTGATTGGTTTCTTGTACCACAGAGAATAAAGACTGTATTTGTTGTCATTCTCGAATGGTTTTTTATTTGTTTTTAGCTATTGTGGGAGAAACTGAGCCTCAGTGGATTCCCCCAGTTAAGTTATTAGGACAACTGCTCAAATATAACCATTTCATCCCTATTTAAGAGTATGAAAGCTAACTTCTCTTTGATTTTGGGTTGATTTTAAGATTGTATTATGATTATTTATTAGCATTTACATAAAAGTGACATTTGACAAGAGTCACTTTTCCCAATGCAATTTCCTGGGTTAGAGCCCAATAAAAGGCAGTTCATCCCAGTATTTTGAAAGTTACTTTGTATTTCTAAATATTTAAAAAAATTTTTTTGTAGTTGTAGATGGACAGAATGCCTTTATTTTATTTGTTTATTTTTATGTGGTGCTAAAGATCGAACCCAGTGCCTCACACAGTGGCAGGTAAGCACTCTGCCACTGAGATACAGCCCCAGCCCTCTGTATTTTGCTCTTAGTTGATTTTTGTCCTCTTCTCGGTAGCTATCCTAGGTTCAGTCTGAATCACTTAAAAAATACATATATATTTTATATATGAAAAAACATGAGTCATAGGACTTTTTTTAAATTAAAAAAAAAATTTTGAGGAAAAAAGTGGTATGGGAAAGGACCTGTTTGGCCCACTCTCTTCCCTACTGTGGGCAGTTGGGTTGAGGCCTTTAGGTGTATAATGAATGCAAATTTGCTCCTATTTTATAAACATCTCTTTTAATCTGTTAACCTTCACAGAAATACTCTGGATTTAGTAAAATAGAGGTTAAAAGCATGGACTTTGGAATCAGACCTGGGCTTAAAGCCCATCCTCCCTCTGTGTTCATTCCTCTGTGACCATAGATGAGTTTCTTCACCTCTTTAGGACTGTGTATCCTCAGCTGTAAAAATAAGTATAATGACATTACCAACTTGCTAAGGTGTTGAATTATGTAGCTGTTTTCTGAATATGGAAGGAAGCTTAAATTCAGTGGGTTAAAAATATTTTAAAACACTTTATAGCAGTTCGATTTTATCTCTATTTTATTTGCTCCTCATAGTAATGGTGTGGGTTAGACAGGGAAAGTATTATTTTGCTTTTATAATTGAGGATTAGATGAACTAGTTGTTAGTTCACTGTATTTAATACTACTGTTGGGGCTACTCTTACTAATAATCCTGGGACTTTTAATACTGATAATAATATTCTCAGTAACTTTCCAATTTATGCCCACTTTTTATTCCTAAATCTTAATGCCATACTATAAGCCTCTCACTAAATTCAATATGCAAAGCTGATTTTATCAATAAACTAAAATAATATTGACCTTGCTGTCTCAGCATGATAGCATTTTTTCTTCTCCAGAAAATTGTGTTTTGAAATTTTGTTTATTCAAGATGAACATTATTATTAGAGACAGTAGGAGGAAGTCATATTTTTTTCTTCGGTGGGACACAGGATCACCATCCAGCACAAAGTAAATAATTGCTCTAGACAATACTGCTAACTGAGACCCAACATGGCGGCCGGCGAGGAAACAGCACTTTCAATACCTCCACAGTAACGGGATCAGAGAGATCCATTAATACACCTACATGCTACCTGCTGAGAAACTTCTAGCAAAATTCCGCTGAAAGGAGACCTGCCGGGAATTAGTAAGTCTATTGGAAGTATCAGTTTGTCTCGGCCACGAGGTGCAGGGGCCCAGTCCTGCCAGCCACCGCTGAAAGGGCGCTGCTAGCCCGGCGGCGAACGTTCAAACAGCTGCTGCCTGCCCAGGCCCCTGCCGGCCCGGCTCTGTAAACCGCCTCCGGCGGTTTGGTGCTGCAAACGACCCCCCCCCCCCCCCCCCTCGGGTGAACAGCTCCCGACCCCCGGCTCTGCGAACAGCCCCACCCGCCCCGCACTGCGAACAGCCCCGCCCGCACAGCGAACAGGCCCCCGCCCGCCCGGCACTGAGAACACCCCCGCGAACACCACAGCGAACGGGATACCACCTTGGCAGAGAGCTGACTTCACGGGCGGAGGAGATAACTTCATTGAAACCAGCGCGACAGGTGTGTGATCCCCTAGCCATCTCTCTCCACACAGCGGGGAAACCTTAAGAGCCCCTCCCAGCTCTCCTGTGAGCTCCATAGCCAGACCGAGGGAATAAGGAGTGGCACGGGACTCGCGGTGCGGAACTCCCGGCTACCGCTCCCACCAGTGCTGACAACTGAGGTCTCTTGCACCAGCTACTGGGGGCGTGGCTACTGGAGGGCAAGCAAATTCGCTGGGGGTTCTCACCCCCAAGCTCTATAAACTTAGGGTCTGAGGGAGGCAAACAGAGAGAGTGTGCCCAGGCGTTCATGAAAACAGGGCTCCCAGGAGCAGCAGACCTGGCGTGTAACCAGTATTGTGGTAAGCGTCACAGGTGAGCGGGGCCTGGCTTGAGGAAACACAAGAGAAGGCCCTAGGCACTTAGGATTGGAGACCCGCCCAGTCTGGGAGGAAGAACTGCTGCACAGTGAATGGTTCCCACCTATTGAGAGGAGAAACTTGGCCCAGTGGGCACAGCTCCATCTACTGGAAGAGAAGTTAATCGAACTCTATGACTGCATTTATTATTATTTTTTTTCTTTTTCTTTCTTTTTCATTTTTTTGTTGGTGGTGTTGTTCTTTAACTTTTTTTTTTAATATTTTTAATTTTTTTAAAAATTTTTCTATTTTATTATTATTAGTATTATTTCTTTAAATTTTAATTTTCATTTTTTTATTATGTTTATTATTTTAAAAAAAATTTTTTTTTCTTTCTTTATATTCTATTTTTTTTCTTTTGTCTTTTCATTTCTTTTCAATTTTCTTATTCCCCCTTCCTTGAATTCTACCTGCCTACTCTCATTCTCTTTAGTGACTTCTTCCCTTTCCTTCTATTATACTTCCTCCCAAGCATCAAATAAATTTATAAGAATAAAGAGTAACTCAGCAGTCAAATAGAACAAGAAGTAACATGAGCAGCATAAAAAAGCAAGGAAGAAAAGGAGTACAAACAATGAAGGACAGCCTAAATATTCAGGAGGATCTAGAGTCATTAGAAAAATGGTCATATAAAGATCCCAAGGAATACCTTAGACAGATGGAATGGAACCTTAAAG